TCCATGTGCTGGACATGGCAGCGTCCACTCGACAGACAGCGGTCCGTGACACGTGCGACGTAGTCCTTTCCGCAGTTCTTCACAGCGTTACTACATCTCGCCGACGTGAAGCCGTGCACGGATGAAAATCTCGGCCAGATTCGATATTCTCCATTGCGATCTTGAACAGATCTGCCCGTGCATGTCATTGAGCGAACTACAGAATGAGCTACCAGCCGTCGTTGTCACAGCAGCACCTGCCGCTCGTCCGTCTCGCCAAGATTTGCGACTGGGGTGGTCTCCGCAAGGCATTAGACAAAGCGCCGCAAGACCAAATCGAAGCCACGGACGACTACGGCATGCATGTGTTGCATTGGGCAGTCACGGAAGCCAACATTCCTCTCGGTCTGCTCGAGTTCCTCGTGCGAGTGTTTCCCCATGGCGTTCGGACATTTTCCAACGGCGGATTCCTCCCGCTGCATCTTGCCCTCATGGCCGGGGCGTCCGTGACCCGAGTACAACGCCTTGTCGAATCCTTTCCTCAGAGCACGATCGTGCCGATTCCGTCGGGTCACACGCCCATCATGATATACGACGAACGACTGCCGATGGACACCCAAGCACTGAAACGTGCAGACGGACAGCAAGGTCCGGCAGCCCATGCCATCCACGTGTGGGGCAATATCCTCGTCGGGCATGTGCTCCGAAGTTACCGGTTGAATTCGAACCCCCGACCTGTCAAGCCTCGTCGCCACTCGACGTCCATGTCGAGTTTGGCGACGACGTCGTCATCTTCGTCGACGGCTTCGTGCTCTTCGTCGACTTCGTCCGGCCGTTCGGCATCGGTCGACGACATCCCGACCTTTGACTGGCGAGAATTGACTCGACGGATGGTCGCGAACGACCCGACACTGGACGATATTGTCGACGACAAGCCAAAGTTGCTCGTCATGGCCGCCACAAGAGCGCCGTTCGACCTGTTTCAATGGATCCTGTCGCTCTGTCCAGAATGTACAAGAATTCCCACATCAAACGGATGGCTGCCGCTGCACGTTGCGGTAGCCCATCAAGTGTCTGCGAGGCGACTGCAGAAGCTCCTGGAAGTATACCCAGAGAGCATCCACGTCCTGACTCGGCAAGGGGACTCGGTGTTGTCCCTCGCTCAGAAAGCGCCCGTGGATGCGGCCTGCCTCGAGCTACTGCGACAGAGTGCGACGGCAGTCGCGTAGGTGTGTAGCGTTGTGCGTGATCTGGATTAGATGTATGGTGTTCAGGGGTTTTGGCACTCTGCTCAGCATCCTGGGGACCGCCGGTGGCGTCTCTGGCTATGTGAATTGGACTTCGACAAAGACCAGGCTGGTCGACAGGCTTCGAACCTACGCCTTCTTCGACTATACGGCAAGGTCTGTTGTGCGCAAGACCAAATGAGTGCCGAGTGCACTCGGTGGCGCGGCATAACACTGCAGCGCCGAAGGGGTGAGCACGAGCCACCATGAGATTGCATCGAGATAGCCTCGCCAATTTTGACGGCGCCATTGGACTCCAACCCTACGTCCGTTGAACACGCTGCCTTGCGATCTTCTGAGGTGGAGCACGACTTGCGCCGGAGATGGAAGCCTCTCGCTCGGTGGTACATGGTGCTTGGACCACCATCATGTTGAATGGATGGACCTGCGCACAACAAACCTCCGTTTTTCCGCCTCGCTGTCGTCCACAGATACTTGGTCACGTCCATGGTGGGGCGTCAGCAGGATCCGCCAACGCTGGCGGCACCGCACGCAACTCGGCTTACGCACAACGTACACGAACTTGTCGTCGGCGACTAGAACTCGGGCGTGCCATGCGAGATGGAGCTTGGTGTTCACGAAGGCCGCACAGCGAATAATCGAGGTG